GGGCAGAGTCAGCAAGTGTTGAAGCGACCGCTGCTTTCAATGAATTTAAATTTCATTTCATTCAGAGATTTTCATATTTGACCAGTGAACATATATTAGGATAAATACACAACATATATGTCAGGGCTCCATTCCGTGGAGTTGACACGTGTGGGTTGGTTTTAATTAAAAAAAAAATCTAGGTAAAGATAAACAAACATTTACTTCTATTCCCGGTCTTATTTTGAATTATATATGAATATATATTTATGTGGCTTTATTATGAATGTAATAATAATCCTGGAGATCTACACACACACACACACACACACACACAGCAGCCATCTTTGTGTGTGTGTGTGTGTGTGTGTGTGTGTTTTCTCTGTACACCGTCTCTGATGGCGACAACGATCCAGTAACAGATCGACAAATTTAAAAATAACACGAATTTGATATGGTAAAAAATATATATAAATATATATTTAAACTAACCACTTTGTCTGAACTGTTTAAGTTTAAAAATGATGCAGTAATTAATTCATTTAAAACGTAATTTGTTCACTGTAAATTACAGCACGTTTGACATTTAACTATTTTATTTTTCTCACCGTCTTTAACGGTTGTCATTAAGTGAAAGAAGAGTTTTTTTCTTTTTTTGTTTCCAGGATTACATGTTATTGTTGTTGTTGTTTGTTCTGATACATTTATTGGATCAGCAGGGCGTGTGACGACAGTACTGTGGTTAACTCGACTCGTGTATTTGTATTTTATATTAAATCTATTTACGGTGTAGGGACAAGGTGCTAAACATATCCGTGAATATATTTATTTAAATGAAAAGCCACGAGTTTTGCAGGTTGTAATAATAATAATAATAATAAAAAAATAACCCCTGACAGAACTATCTGCTCTGTGTAGGAATTGTTTTCATAAAAAAAAAAGAAATGCAGCGTCATATTTTAAAAACAAACCACCGCAGATTTTTGCGATTTAAATAAGTAAAAAAAAAAAAAAAACCCCAAACAAAGTTATTTCACCTTCCCGACTTGGTGATCACCATCTCCGTGCCCCTCTTGTGGAACAGCTCCCAGAGTTCCTTTCCTTCCAGTTGGACTTTAGGATCATCCTCCACCTCCTCCTCCGGCTCCAGGGTCTTCAGAGGCCTGAGGTGCGCGGCCGCAGCCTGGTGCCCCAGCGTGGGGAAGTGCAAGCCGGTGTCCGCGACTCCCATCAGCTGGTCCATGATCGGCTTCCCCAGGGCGCCCGGCAGAGACAGGGAGCCGCTCGGAGGCAGCGCCAGCGCCGGGAAGAAGGGCGGCTGGTGGCCCAGCATTGCGCTCATGGCAAACTCCGGACTCCGGTGAGGTATGAAGGGATGATACGCCATACTCGATCCCTGTATGACTGGATCTCTCATCAGGAAGTTCATCCAAGTGCTGGCAGCAGATGTAGACGACTTGTTTTTTTGTTGTTTTTTGTTTGGATGTGAAACTGAGGACTGAACACTGGAGGAGCAAACGGACAAACAATCAATCAGAACCGGACGAGGACAAACGAGACCAGAGGTGGAAGAAAAAGCTGTGGAAATCCCTCCTAAAAAATCAAATATTACAATCCACGTTTTTTTTTTGTCTGAAGGAGGGGTCAAAGTCGCCGAGATGTTTTTGGTTAAAAGTCTGCTCAGAGAAATGTGGAGTAAATGTTCTCCATGAATCTGCTGCTGCTGCTGCTGCTGCTGCTGCGGGGAACGATTGTCCTCAGAGGCGGACTCGCACCGGACGCCTCTGTGCCGTGCTGCCGCGGTCTTTTGCGCACATTTAGTCGAAATTAAACCATTTGGGGAGAGTCACTTGTTAATTGGCCGCGGCGCATTCTTTCTACTCCCCCTCTTCACTCCGCTGCTGCTGCTGCTGCTGCTGC